CCTTTTCTCGCGTGGGGTGATTTTCACGCGCGCTCGCGTTTCGCTTGCTCTACTATCCCTGAGGAAAAAAGGGGGACTACTCGTAGTCTAGGCGAATAAAGGTTGGGCGGTGAAACGAGCGCTCCGCTCTTCATTTAATGTGTGATGCGGAGTAGGACTGGCACGAGCGCTCTTTCCGCGCTTCCGGTGCGCTTGAAGGCCGGCGAAATTTTCCTTTTTGCAAACAGGAAATCCTATTTTCTTTCTGTAATTTCAGGCTTCAGTGTTAAATAGATAAATTCGTTTCTTAACAATATCAACAAAAAGTTTCATATGTTTGTGTCGGTATGCCTATAAGTCAAACTTGTTGGTCGTATAATGCCAAAATTTGAGTTTAATTTGAAAGTGTTGAATACCTTCCACCATAGTTAATTGAGTGGAATGGTTATGAAACCCGTCAGACTCCTTTGTTATATGTTTTTGTGGACCTGAAAGTGCACAACGTTTAAAAGAATTCCTATCATTTTGATTGTATTGACCAATAAAAACGTTGCATTAATTTATTCCGTAACAATTTGCCAACAGAAAACAAAGGATTGTGCACTTTCAGGGTGCTTCCAACATAAACTGCAGCACTGTTGTTTTTATCATTGATGTTTGCCGCTTTTCATAACCAGTCTCCTCTAATAACTATGGATGTTTGATTGCCGGTCTGATTNCCGTCAGACTCCTTTGTTATATGTTTTTGTGGACCTGAAAGTGCACAACGTTCAAAAGAATTCCTATCATTTTGATTGTATTGACCAATAAAAACGTTGCATTAATTTATTCCGTAACAATTTGCCAACAGAAAACAAAGGATTGTGCACTTTCAGGGTGCTTCCAACATAAACTGCAGCACTGTTGTTTTTATCATTGATGTTTGCCGCTTTTCATAACCAGTCTCCTCTAATAACTATGCTTCCACTAAATATCACCTAATCGTCTTTCGCCGTTTCGTTTGCAAAAGCTTAACACTCCTTAACCTCAATTTTTACATATGTTAAAGGGGGATAGATTTTATATAACATAACAAAAAATTAGATTGATATATTTTGATATAGTGTCGTTGTACTGCTTCAAACTTTGCTTCTCGGGTGCAACGCGCCATGTTGATTCGTGCAATGCGTCCCAAATCCGGTAACCGCAAGTAAACAAAATTTATTGAGGTTAGTTGTAAGATTTTTTCTCCGTTTTTCTCTCTAAAACAAAACAGTTCAACAGTTAAAACTGAGGGGAAACTAATTTTGAAGTTTCGAAGAAACAGAAAGACGTATGAGATGATTTTTTTTTCAAAATTAAAAATAAGGATGATGGTGATTGAAATTAGCATAATTTCACCTTGCACGAGCTGCACGCATTTATAAAACACACGTCTTCTACGATCTGCTGTCTTTTAGTTTTGCCATGGATGACATGGATGAGATTTTCCTTCGTGTTTTAGACAGTACTTAGTTGTTTTTGTTTTGGAATAACATCGACATCGGCGAGTAGTAGAACGAAAATATAATTCAGTGGTAGAGTCATGGAAGAAGAGAAACCCTTTGAAAGAGATGTTTGGCTAGTCCGATTAAACCTCTCGCAAAAAATAGCAACATTTGCCTCTCGGAGACAGCGTACCAGCACAAAGGAACGAGGAAGAAGTGCAAGAAAACAAATCAAGCCGCCATAATTCAGTGACAGCGGCAGGGTCTAAAGTACAAACCACATCACAAGCCCTGATCGTGGAAAACAAGCGACATTTCTAAGCAGAGTCCCAGTCCACTGCATCACACCTTTTTGCTCGGACGCGCTCGTTTCACCGCCCAACCTTTATCCGCCCTGGGGCCCGTTTCTCGGAAGTCCCGATAATTAACGGGCCCGGTAAGCTGTCTCCGTTTACATTAAATATCGAGGTTTCAATAGTTTTGTATCTAACACGATAAAACTGTCAGTTAATGAAACAAAATGGAGTAGTTTGCTAGCCAGGACCCGCGCTCTTATTCTTTATATTTCGATTTGAATATTTGATTTCGGGCCCGAAAAGTTACCGGGACTTTCGAGAAACGGGCCCCTTGCCCGGGTTGCTCGAAGCATGGTTAGTGCTAACCAGCGTTAAATACCATGGAAACCTATACATTTTGATACCTCTTAACCAACGGTTAGCACTAACCAGGCTTCGAGCAACCGGCCCGCATGCAGTGAACACCGCGGAAAAACGTCTACGCATGCGCCAGGTTGAGCATTTCCGGTCACTTTTTCAGTCACACTTTCCAGTCAGATCAAAGTCTCCCACGCGCGTTCGGCTTCATTCTGTGTGCAGCTTGTGGTTCAGTTGTTCTGCTTCATGCTGCTTGTGTTTTTGACTATTTTGTAGTAATTGAAATTGCTCTTATTGATAACCAGGCACAGATCACTGAAACAATTAGTCGATTAGATTCAGAAAAGGTAAGTTGATACAGTAATAACTTGTGTAATTTTGGCTAATTTGAGCGTCAGGTAAACTAATTTTCTTTCACGAAAACAAAGTTTTGTCTGCCATTTTTCACTTTTATAACCTGGCTGAAACTAAGACATAAAAGGTTATCATTGCAAGCTTGTGTATTGTAGTTCTAATTTTCGGTTCTTCAATTTCTCAGTCTTAAAACCAGCTGTAAAACCGCTTCGAACTTTATTTGGAAAACGACAACACACAATCGCTTTGTATAGTTTTATTTACCCGTGAGTTTTACCGTGTTTGGAATGAAGCTCTTCTGAGTTGATTGCCATGAAACAAAAGCGTAATTGTACTGTTTAGGTTTATTTATTTATTTATTTATTTTTTTCCATTCTCAGAATCAGAGACCGAAAGCTGGTTCGATGCCGGGGGCCGTTTAGAAGTCGAAATTTTCATGCCATGTATTTAGCAGCTGGTAGTTTCGTGTCTGTATGAGACGCAGCCGAGCCGCAGAGTCTGAAATTATTGAAGTTTTCCAACCAAAGAATAACCATGTAAAAGAATTTAATATTATATAGGAATTTTCTTGAATGAAAGTACGTTTTAAGGCATGTTTAGTTTCCTGGCACCGAAAGCTCCGGGTATTCGTGACTGCTGTCACCAAAGTCGAGGTTGTCATTAAATCCCGCCCATCTTTTGCCGTTTTGAGTTCTTATTTTCCCTGATAATAGAATAATTATTGAACGGACTAAACTTTTGTTTCTTGGTTCTAGTGTTAATGATAATAATTTATTTTGGTTTCTTTCATAAGTATTGCTATGGATTCTTTTCTTAGTTATCGCCTTCTCTCAAATTAACTTATGCCAAACCAGTAAAAAAAATTCGCGCGTCTTGTTGAGCGCTAGCGACTTACAAACTTCAAACATCATTTTCAGTGTTGGTGCAACCAGATAACCATGTGGTGCAAAAGTTTGACACTAGAAAAATTTGTAAGCTTTCGAATAAAGTGATTTTTTTCGACCCCCTTTTTTGTCTGTTTCTCCCTTTTGGCTTTTAAACTTGGCGCGACGGCAATGTTATGCTTACGCAATTGGTCTGTATACTAGACCGTAAATAAAAAGTTGACCGGATGTTAAATTTTGTGCTCATGCGCAGTGTGTTTCGCCGCGGTGTTATAGACGTGTGACATGTGAAAAGCGGAAGTCCCTTGTCTTTTCCGGTTTGTTCTAGTCGGGGAGATTCAACGAGATTTTGTGGGCGTTTTTAATAAAACAATTATTCCACTCGCGCTTGTTGGATATGAGATGATTATAGCAAACTCGGCGCTACGTGCCTCGCTGGCTATCTATCATCTCATATCCAACGCGCCCTCGTGGAATAATTGTTAAATAGACATTTTAGTTTCGTTGTCAAAAGGAATGTGAGGAGAGACTTAAATGCACAGTCACAGTAGTGTGGGCTTCCTGTAGAAAACTAGTAGGCTTTTTGGCTGTAGTTAATTTCTTGTGGGTATGAGGGCCTGTTGTCCTCTCATCTCGATTACTTCTATTAGAGGTAAATTTATGTACAACGAGAGACCTAAAAATTGTGTTGTGATGTACCTATGTCAGGATAAAATACTTACGAGACAACAGAATTCCATTTATTCCTTTGTGTTCTATTGAGTTTTAACAATAATGAGCTACCTTGATATACAGAAACCATTTCATCAAGAAAGTCAAAATTATCCTTATGCTTTAAATGTCTTAATGTCAACTTGAAATTTNGGCGCGACGGCAATGTTATGCTTACGCAATTGGTCTGTATACTAGACCGTAAATAAAAAGTTGACCGGATGTTAAATTTTGTGCTCATGCGCAGTGTGTTTCGCCGCGGTGTTATAGACGTGTGACATGTGAAAAGCGGAAGTCCCTTGTCTTTTCCGGTTTGTTCTAGTCGGGGAGATTCAACGAGATTTTGTGGGCGTTTTTAATAAAACAATTATTCCACTCGCGCTTGTTGGATATGAGATGATTATAGCAAACTCGGCGCTACGTGCCTCGCTGGCTATCTATCATCTCATATCCAACGCGCCCTCGTGGAATAATTGTTAAATAGACATTTTAGTTTCGTTGTCAAAAGGAATGTGAGGAGAGACTTAAATGCACAGTCACAGTAGTGTGGGCTTCCTGTAGAAAACTAGTAGGCTTTTTGGCTGTAGTTAATTTCTTGTGGGTATGAGGGCCTGTTGTCCTCTCATCTCGATTACTTCTATTAGAGGTAAATTTATGTACAACGAGAGACCTAAAAATTGTGTTGTGATGTACCTATGTCAGGATAAAATACTTACGAGACAACAGAATTCCATTTATTCCTTTGTGTTCTATTGAGTTTTAACAATAATGAGCTACCTTGATATACAGAAACCATTTCATCAAGAAAGTCAAAATTATCCTTATGCTTTAAATGTCTTAATATCAACTTGAAATTTCAATCTAAATTTACTTTAAGCCCTGCCACTTTTAACTCTTTAGGTTGAAAACGATATTTGGAAAGGAGAATCCTTCTTTTATCACTGCTACACACTCTAGAAGAAGCAGAAGAAGCCCACAGAGGCGCATGACACCATTAGGATGATGCTGACTATAGGCGTGGAACCACTGTTGACAGGGCTGTTGTCACCGTTGCAGAGGTCTTTATCGCAGCACTTGTATTCGCATTTACCACCTGCATCTTTGCAAGGTTTTAAAACTCCCGAGTTTGCCACATCACACACAGCTTTGGTAGTGCAGGATTTTGTGTATGATTTCGATTCCTGAGAGCCGACTTTAAATTCCGTGGTCAATGTGAAACAGCGCGGTTCAGATCCCTTGCAATCCAGCTCATTTTGACTCTTAGCACAGTCCGCCAAACTTGTCGTACTGGGACCACATTGGTAGCACTTTAATCCAGAAGCTGCGAGAAATAAGGAACGCTTCAGAAAGTTATCTTTTCTCAAATGTTTTACAATGAATTACTAAAAGTTATATATAAAATCTAGAGGGTTCGCATCCCACTGTCTATACACTGACGTTATTTCACTCAAACACTGTTGCAGTACGTGGTATGATTGCTCTGTTTAACACAGCAACTCGTTATTTTCATGTTATCAGGATTTCAACGTCAAATGGCGTTAAGTGATGGCGATGGAGTGACCAGAGTAATTCTGGACTGAACTAATCTACACAGAAAGAAGTAAATTATTTGGCTCCATAAACTAAAGGTGAATTAAACGTTAATTCATTTCTAAAGTACATGTACGGAGGCCTTAATTTCTTTGTCAATTTTCTCTCAGTTGGTGCATGCCACCGAAACTAGGCTAAGCCCAGTTGTGAGCCAGTCACTTGTTTACACTCGTTTCTTTTTGGCATATTTCACAGGAATATCAAGGCTGAAATTTGCGAAATTTTAAGAATATTTTAAGAAAAAATGCAAGGTCGAGACTTTGAAAATGATGTTATTTATATGTATGTTGAAAATATGTAAATGCAATATAGCAGGTATACAATTCCATGCATACAAATAACCACTTAAAATTTAAAATTACTGATTTCTTTTTCTAAACGGTAAGACTAAAGCCTGAGATAACGGACGACATTTCGCAACGCCACCACTGGCTTCCCCACGAATTGAAGTCTGAGAAACGAGCGCAGAAATTCCAAACTGATGACTCGTCACTACCCAGATCTGGGTCGGTGCTACTAGTTGGTAGTGCAGCCTGTGAAACTTGCTTCAACCAATCAGAAGCACTAACCCAGATCTGGGTAAGAAACGCTTCATCTGTATAGAATTTCTGCGCTCGTTTCTCAGATGTCAATTCCGGGGGAAACCGCTGGTGGCGTCGCGAAATGTCGTCTGTTTTCTCAGACTAGTAAAACTAACGAACAAAACTGACGAAAAAACCTACACTACCTTAAGCCAAATGTTAAAGCTAATGACAGTACGATGAAGGATACATGTCATACGTTTGTACCGTATCAAGACAGCACAAAAGAAATGCCCAAAACTGCAAAGCCAGTATCATCATGATATTTTCTTCCTTTTTAAAGGATGATACATTCAGCCTGGGCCGAAAAAACAACCGTGATAAAAGAATGCAGTTTAGTTGTTGCTCTCACGTAGTATTCAAAGACCAGACTAT